CCACTGGTCAACTTTTGGTAGGATTCATCTCTCCAGGCATAGATAACAATATCTGATCTAGGTATGTAGAACCCCTTTGTAATAAGTGATGAGAAACAAGCATTTTAAGTGCATAACTCATCTGATGCCATGACAGAAGTCTGCACAGGTCAGATGAGTTGTACACTGGAAGCGCTGATATTTTCTGTAGATTGTAACAGAATTAGACCGCTGCTTTGGACACAGACACCTACATTGTTACTGTCTATAATGCAGGGAGATGAGTCCCGTCCTTCCCGCAGCACATTCTTGCCTTGTCCCAGAGTACAAAGAGTAGGTATACCATATGATAGTAACAGCTGTCAGTCCACAGGGCTGGTTTTAACACACCCTGTAGCAGCATGTGCCAGTTATCATTGAAGAGATGCAGCAGCTTCCCAAACTTACATGATTAATTGCTGCTCATCAGTGCAGGACTGTTTCCTCCAAGACATTTCCTTGCACTTTGTCTTTTCTATCTTATATTCTAAGCAGTGTTTCTTTTCACATATCTCTGTATAATCAAGGAAAACAACCTGAGCCAATTTACAGATAAAAAGGTCAGACATGCATCATAATTACAGTCACTATATCTTAATGGCTTTCTGATCACAAGGCATCATATTATCGAAACAGTTCTTTCCACGATAGCCTTCTCAGCCACTGAAGTACGCCAGCAATGAGTCTACAGAACGATACCTCACGTCTCTTTCTCCTGTCATTAGTGTTTTTATCATAGGTGGCTAGGTAGGTTATGTCCCAGCAGCAGCCTAGAGATCCCCAAAAGGTTTGAAAAAACTTAGGTTGCAGCTAGACATCATCTTCTTTCCCTCTAGCACTGACCTGCTGGGACAGCAGTTGTGCTTGGCCCTGGTATGGAGGGTTTGACAGCTTTGGCAGGCTGTCAGCCACTTCTTGCTTGGGATGTTGTATTCTTCTTTGCAGTGGTGATAACTATTGGACGTTCTTTGGGTAATCTCACTCTTCCTGTGTCCTGGGATGAGATTCATCCCATCCAACTTCAGATCAAACAGTTTGGCACTAGCTGACAGGAGAGTTTTAGCTATGATGGTCTAACACTTAGGAAAGAAAGTTTGTAAGGTAAATAGCTTTTACCTGACCAACTAGTATAGTTAGATAAAACTGGTACGATGATGTTAGAAACACAAACCCCTCTTCAGTTTTCAGATGAAAAGGACCTGTGTGTCCAAAAACCGGTCTGTTTTTCCAACTAATGTAAACTCCAGCTGGCAAGGGAATTATCTAGATACCTTTATAGCTGTTGGAAACACACTGTCCCCAGAGGGTAATTCATCCCGTTATCCAGAATGAGCAGAATTTTTCTCTGGAGATGCCTGTCTCTCTCCGCTGACTGTTGAGGGAGCGCAGGCGAATAGCTTATGCTAGAGGCTTACTTTTTTGACAGCTAAAGTTAAACCAGAGAAATCCCATTCTTGTATGTAACTGGCATTTGGGGGCAGGCAGTGTTTTTTAAATATCTCTGTTCAGTATTTAGTACATAATCATACATGCTTCTAGATTGATTGTCTCTGGTTCAAGTGCTTTTTGGTCGTGAACTCAATCCTTTCTCAGTTCATATGGCTGTAAATGAAGATTTTAAGGCATTCTGCAATAACCTAGTGATAAAGAGTAAGGGTCCCAGTAAACTCTAAACTCTCTCTTATCAAATAAAGTTCTTGCTATTCATATAGTCTTCAGCAAGAATTTTATACTGTGCATTTAAACTGATAAATCCTGAAAATTATCAGCATCAGACTTTCCTGAATTGTGATCCTTTATCTTCTCTTAACTCCTCCTAGAATCCAGCTGTAGCCTATCTGCCACATACGATGGGCTGTTGCATTGCTGGAGTATGAGTTGGGCAGCAGCTCATTAAAAAATATGAGTTAGAGTGCCACTAAGTAATATTTTTTCCCTCACCGAATCTGTAATTCACATACAGCTCTGTACCCGTGTTCGGCAAAAGAGGACCAGGAATCTCCTGTGGTTATTTGCATTCTGCTTTCTGCAGTGATTATGTGCCTCATATGTGGATGCTCTGTGTTCAGTGGTAATGTTCATGCCTGACCTGAATAGGAATCTCAGACATAATTCTTGCACATCTCATTCCAGCTTTGCATTTCCATGTGTCTAACATACGATGTCTTTTGTGCAGCATCCCATGATATGCAGGAATTCCCCTTCTCTGGTTCCACTGGTTATTTTTTAATGGAAGGCGCTTAAGCTCTGGCCATTAGCCATCCATTTGAATTACTCTCATAAATACTCGTTATGTTCTGTCACGTTATGTTTCTCCTCCGTTTCTCAAGCTGCATTTCAGAAATGAGTAGTGCTAGTCACAGTGACTTCAGGCTCTTCCTCCTGACTTTCTGCAGGCCTTGTAGAGTGTAACTGCCCAAATAAGCGCCTCCTTATTTAACGAAGCAGACGTAATGCCAGGAGGCAGCAACTTTCATTGGAAACCGAACTTCATAACTACCTAAGTGGAGGAGCCGTTGAAGGGATTCCTTTGAGAAAAGTTGGCACTGCTCTCCCCTTGGAATTAATGTCTCCCGCATCCATAGTGACACTGGTCTCGCTGGCACAAAGAGATGCAGTGTTTGTATCCTGTCTCCCTGGCACAAGCCGCCATGAATCCTAAACAGCTGTCAGACATACTGTGAAGCATCTTCCACTTTTTGCCAGTGGTTTATCCTACCAGCTTCTACCACAGATTCATTGCTAGCTTTTCAAATCCAGACCTTGTGTCTTCCACAGAACTAGATATTCCTCCTATTTTGCTTTATCATCAGAATTAGATTCTTATCATTGCACGCATGTGACCAAAGAAACTAGCTTCACATCTCTGGGACTCTTTTTACACTCATTCGTGAGCCCCAAAAGGACATCAGATGCACTGGGGACTCTTTCTGGCAGTCTGCAGTCAAATATGCTAAGCTGGACCAAGGGTTATCAGCTGAGCTGGAACTAAAATTGCACATCTTACCCCAGCCTCAGAGCTTGAACTCCCTCCTCCCACCTCTGGATGCTCCAGGCAGCCTCGGAGGAGAGGTGATTTATAGAGTTAGAGAGATAATTCACTGCCATTCTTAGAGCTGGATCAGCTCTGGTGCTACCAAGTGGACTTCAGACCTCCTACCTCCCTGTCATGAAAACAAACTTCACGTACGAGTTCTTAAAGCGTCTTTTATGACACTATTATGGACAATGACTTTATAAATGGAACATTTATTCTAAACTGTATCATTTCTACATTGAACGATTGTCATTGAAAGCATTTAGACTCTCATTTAAGACTGAGAATTTTTGAATACCCTTTGGAATATGTAAATACAAGATGGAGCAAGCTTACACCGGAAGTAAAGATGCACAATGCAGCATTTAGACAGGGTTTCCATATGCCATTTCCTGGTTTGATTTCTCAGTGGATTAGACTGCACACTGATGTATGAATCAGCCCATCTGGCTCCAGTACTTTTTAAGCTTGCTGCCCTGGCTGAACATACTGGCTTCCAGGAACGTTCATGATTAGTAACACATTTATGTTTAGGCTCCTATGGTACTATGATTTTTCAGTCTGTATCAAATTCAAACCACTTTTCTAATGTACTTTTAGTTGTTCCTTAGATATTGAAATGACAGCAAAATACCAGGTGGTACATATATAAATACTTGGAGCAAACACAAAGATGGACCAGATCAGGTATCTGACAATAGTAGTCTGAGAACATCACCTAAAAATAAATGAGGCTATGTCTACATGGTAGACTGCAGCATGACTTGGTGATACCCATACCTCCAAACTACTAGCTACTTTAGACCCTTGAAGCAGCCTAATTAGGACAGCACAGAGCTCACTGCAGCGCAAAGTCCTCTTGAGAAGCACAGAAAATGAACTTGCAGTGAGCTCAGTGCTACCTCCACTAGATGCCTTCCTGTAGCAGAGCTAGCTCAGGTAACACACTGCACTCTGTAGCGCAGATATTCTAAAAA